TTGAGAAGGGAAACAGTGAAGCCCTTGATGAAGTTGCTACCACTGATGTGACTTTTACCGATGATAGGACATTTTCTGATGAAGCATATGAACCCCACATGAAGCAGAAGCCAACGAGACGGAGACCAGTACGGAAGAAGATACGTCCTGTAAAATTAAGAGACTTTGTTGAATTGTAATTTTATGTTTGTAAATTATGTACATTTAATTACGTTATTGTTAATTGTTTATTGGTTTAATGTAAGTGGCTATTGTTCGGGATGAACAATACTAAGGAAGGGGCAGTGTTACGACAGCGGAGGTCACGTGACACTAGTAACACGTCATATTCTCAAAGCTTCGTGAATCCTCGGGAGATTACTAGATTTCGGTATTCTTTTATATATAAGACGGTCAAGACGTGACGGCAACAATGTAATGCGTAATTGAACTGCGGACAGAGAGAGAGAGTATGGTTGAGTCGAGCACGTGAGACGTTCGTTGTGAATTATAGCGTTTGTTATAGCTTGACTGTGGAAATTAAGTGTATTGCAAAGTTGTATTTAGAAAGAATAAACCAGTTTCATTTAAGAAAGGACTTGTAGCGCTAAAGTTTCTTCGAAAAGAAATTATACAGAAAATTAACTAACGACCAGAGACGTAACAGTATTAATGTTCAATGAGAATCCACTGAAGTTAAATGATTTGTAATGTTCGAACTTTGTAAATTCTCCTTTGTCAAATATCTTTGACAAATAGTTTGTCCAATTAATAAGCATTATAACAATCACAGTTATAGTTTCTGAAATTTATAGTACCCTGACTATAGCAAACTAATAATAAATACTCCTTTATTTTGGCGCGTTGCATCGGTTATACTTACAACCGTGTGGAGAGGTTCTCAAAATGTCAGTTTTACGTAAAAATACTGACACTAACACAAGCGTTTACGTACACACATATATTGTTGATTCTTACTCTCAAGAATCTTCTACAACTTTGGAGAATAGGCAGGAGTTTTACAATAAATATTTAGCACTATAAGCTATGCATGTTTCTAAATATAAACTTAATCTAAACAAACGTTTATATTAAAATAAATATATAGTAATAAATTCATCACAAATTTGAACCCAAGCTCAGTCTAGATTTTCTTGTCATGATACTTGAAGCAATAACTTGGTCTGCAAAACAATTTGTTTCATTGACTATCAAATCTGTTATTTCCTCAGTCACAACTAGAGAATCAACTTCAATTGGCCAAATCTTGCCATCAGTTGATGGAGGCAAAACTTCTCTTTACCTGTGAATGGGAAAGTGCATTGCTTGTCACTTACAGATTTCTAATCATAAGGAAATACTACATCTACATTATCGTCATCAGTCGTATGTTCAATTTCATTATCCTCAGTTCCTCTGTTTGGTTCTTCATCAGATAAGGAAGATGAATCTTCCAGTTCATAAGTTGAAATATTCGATGAATCATCATGCATGTCTTCGTCTGAACTGTTGTCTGAGCTGCGGTCTTCTTTTGTATTAGACTGGCTGGGCACGGCATAAAACATGCCAGAATCCATTTTCCCATATTTTCAGTATAAAAAAAATATCATCACAATACATTTAATAAATGCACACATTATAACATCATATATGATAAATAATCAAAAACAAGGTATAACCACCGGTAGGTCGTATCGCAATAGAGTGAAAAAGTATTTTCTCTCTGCGATACGATCCACCCGTGGGCATATGATTATATGGTCTAAATGGACTTGGTAACAATCGGAGACAACACTCACCTCCTTGCCCTTCACTCTGTCAAATAGTACTGACGTGACAGCAATGAGCACCAATCACAATAGAGGAAAGTCTGAAGGAATGCCAATTGCAAGAAACGTGTTAAAATCCAACTTCAGATATGGTTACAGGAGACTAAAATATGGGACTATACGCAGGGTAAAAAAATCCGTATATTAGACATTGATGTCTGTTTTTGAAAACAGACATCACACAACTCGCATGTTGGTACAGCAGGCAACTTTGTTTTCTTTTTGCTTGCTGTTATTTCTTCTTGACTTTTCTTTCTTTTCCGGAAGTTTCTCTGTTGTGGCTGCATTTTTTTCTTTTGCATATTATCTTCATCACACTTAAGGATACTTTTGGGTATAAGGTGTAGCTTATTTAAGAGGTACAGATAATTAGAATAGATCTAATATTTCTCAAACGAATTTGTTCTTTTGTACTTTTACCAAAGGTGGATTTATCATTTTGCCACTTATAGGCACTAAATGTATTGCCTCTCGTTAGTTTATTAACTATAAAATTTTTATTGTTTATATATACATATATAATATAATCTTACAATAATTTTAGTAACTTACTTTAAAATTTACAACACCTCACCTTCTTTTGAGCAAAAGAATTGATGATGTCGTTGAAAGATATCGACGACAGTAATTTTGATTTGATTTCAAGAATTGCCAAATCATATAATTATTCATCGGATATTTATGATCTTAAATAATTATTAATCTACCAAGGGCACAAAAAATAACTTCCTGCAGTACAATTTGTGGTTGGTATGCTTATATACCTTCTCAGTGCAATGTCTATATTTGGATATAGAAATACTAGGTGAAAAATAACATGTTTTATCACCATATTCTCATTTTGTCTTATTAAAAAATCAATATTTTATTTTCTTTAAACCCGTACATTGCATCATTTATAATCCATTAAGCCAGGTCCTTACTTATGCTCGAAATTTTGATTGTTGTTGATTGTACCACCTCCTTGGCACTTTTTCTTCTTGCACAGCACTTGTTGATTGTATCACTGCTACATTCTTTTTTCTTCTAAATCACTTGTTAATCTGTCCACAGTTTTATCAACTAACACACTAGCACTACTATTGTTATAAAAAAATATTCCATTTTGTAGGTTTTTTGCAACACATTTTTTTTCTCACTTTTTTCTTTACCTATTTTTTATATTGTGCTCCAATCAACCTTTTTCTTCCATCACTCCTTATTTTAAAATAAATAAGAAGGGTAAATAATTGTCAAAACAAAAAAGAGTTCTGTGAAAACACACTTTGACAGCTGCAATACTACATGCACTGGACAACAAACTCATTAATCAGATGATTTTGCACCCGGTATGATTTTAGGTGTACAAGATTGTGTCGGTCCAGAAACGAACTCACACAGCACCACAGTGATTAATATAAGTAATAGTGACACACTGTTGACTTTGTTACCATATGCTCCTTCATTTTTATAGGGTGTAATTGAAAAAATATGTATACAGACGTTTTATGTTTGATATTTGTTATTTTCATTATTATTATTCTTAAAAATTGCCATCTTCAGAATTTGATGCCACCAAAATTTGCCACTCTAGGCTTGTGTTTATAACCCATAGGGCTTATTGAAAATCTACCACTGCCCATCACATAGTATAAAATTTTGAAAAAATTATAATGTTCCTGACAGCTTAAAACTAAGATGAGTATAAGCCATTTTATGAAGATACATCTTGCTTTCATCATCCATATCAGTATCGAACTTGTATCTTATGCCAAGTTATGGGTTTTCGAGCTGACCTCTTTTTTTTCTGGCTTCTTTGGTTTCTTCTTCAGAATCCAGATTTGAGGTAACGCATGCTTTATTGGAGAGTCTCACAGCATCTTCATATGTTTCTTAGTGTACAAAATTCAATATAATAATTGCTTCCTATGGGATATATGATAAAGTATACTTTTACATAAAAATTATATAAAACTATCTTTACATGTTCTATTATCTTTGTTCATAGCAATAATTCATTGCATAAGATCAGGAAATTAACAATCAAATTGTGTGGAAAATTATCAAAATATTACCAAACACACACATTTGTTTATATCCTAAAAAGTAGATACTATTATTCACATATAGACTTTTGCAAACATATTTCTTTGAAAATGTACACAGGTACTTCATCCACAGTTTGTCAGGAAATTATCCATGCCATACCGGTTCTCCACATCTGTAGATACTGAATATATATAATATGCTGAGATCTATGTAGCACAAAGAACAATAAACGTGAAAAATATATAGAAAATTACATTTATTATTAAAGAAAAATACTGCTGTCATCTTGTAAAGGTTATATTACTCTATAAAGACATATTCTAGGCATCAAATGTATTTTATATGATTTCATTACCTTTGAACTTCCTTCAGTCCACAGCAATGGGACCACCTCCACACTTTTCTCTTCCACAAACTCCACCATTGCCAACTTTGACATTTCAGACATGTTTGCTAAAAGCAATTGACCAAATTTACTTAGAACCTGTTAAATAGAGCACAATTAATTATTAGTACACTATACTACTCTTGGGGGCCAGATGTCTAGTAGCATTGGGTATTTGTAGTATGAAGAGTGGTTTGGTTTGTTTGAATTTCGCGCAAAGCTGCAAGAGGGCTATCTGCGCTAGCCGTCCCTAATTCAACAATGAAAGACTAGAGGGAAGGCAGCTAGTCATCACCACACACCGCCAACTCTTGGGCTACTCTTTTACCAACGAATAGTGGGATTGACTGTCACATTATAACGCCCCCACGGCTGAAAGGGCGAACATGTTTGGTGGGATGGGGATTCGAACCCGCGACCCTCAGATTGCGAGTCGAGCACCCTAACCACGTGACCATGCCGAGCCTACGAAGAGTGTATGAAGGAGTGCAAGTTGTTTTAATGAATGTTATAATATACAATTAGCATGATTAGGTAGGAATTTACATGAAAAAACTTTTTAAATTTATGAAAACTAGCAAGAAATAAGACTTCTTGCCCCTTCACCATTCTTGTCTTCAAACGTGATGGCCTTTTTTTTATCAAATCTTGATACAGGTAACACTTTCATATGGGTATATCTAGCTGAGGCTTTATAAACTCTTATTAATCTTGGATCACATGGCTGTATGCTGTATAGAATGTGCTGCTACTCTTTCTTATACTGTGCATAAAACTTTCTTATTGCCCTGTTCATCGTGATCATTTGTAATTTCGAAAGCTTCACAGAAAGTGTGATCATTTAAGATGTATGCATTGTTTGGCTTTTTTACAACAGGTTCATTTTCTTTTTCCTTAACAGATGGCCTACAGTTGTCAAATTCTTCTGTCTTTTCAAAAGTTATACAAGAGGATTTTTCTCATCATGTACAAGGCTTTTGTGTTGCTGCAAATAATTTTCAAATGGAAATGAACTGCAGTTGTTAAAAGAGCCATATTCTTTACCATCATCAACTATATGGATTAATGCATGTATGTTTTAGACCAAGAATTCTGGGCTATACAAGTTGTATCCTTCACTAACAAAATAAGTTAGTAATTTTGCTGCATAATTAGCATGATCTTGTACCAATCAAGGTCTGAGAATTATGCATCTTGCAACACCCAGTTTCATGAAGTGTTTGTATAAATCTGAGCACATGTTATCTTTAAATATAATCTTTCCTGTGTATAAGAAATTGGAGCAGCTCGGTCGCCTTCCATTTGTCAATTTCTTCAATCCCTCTTGGCTTTTTTGCAAAACAACCTGGAATGAACTGTTTCATATTATTTAATATTGCAGTTATTTCACCAACCTATGCAGGTGAAAATTTCGTGAGTCAATAGCTGTTCCCTCTCAGCATAATTATTATCAACCTTTTCATCACTCCCAGGCAGCACAAGTGCATGTAATCTAGGGAAAATTTAGTGATCACATTAATTGGAAAATCACTAAAGGAGGAGACACCCTCATAATGCTCTTCTTGCATTTGTTCTCAAAATGACAATTTAGTTTGCAGGATCAAGTCTGAAGTCTCCTGGTAAGTCACTTTCTTTAATCACACACCTTTCTGGGTGCATTACTCACATCCACAGTAACCAGAGTACTGCTTAACTCAGACTGGGACATTGCGCGCAAAGAATTTTAGGATTACTTCAGTATTTCTGCCATTATATTTCAATCCATGTTGCAAGAGTTCCCCTAAATGTCTGATTGTATCATATAGGAACTCCAGGCTGCTGGGCTTACTTTTAAAGCAATTGGGAAGACTGGTATAGGGTCAATGGCAATTGCACACAAAATTGGCCATATGATTTCTGGCTACTTTTGAAGATAGGCAGTCCATCAGTGTTCAATGAAATTTCAATGCTGTCAATATTGGCTATCTTATCTTCAGGATATTTTTCAAGAAACTTTTTAAACTCTTCTACCAGAGGAAAATAAATATATTCTATTCCCATCTTTCTTTCCATTTCAATGGTTTGAGGAGTTTTCAGTAATGATCTGGTTGTGGCTGATCAGCATGGCCATGCTGCTTTATTACCTTCAGAAGATTATCAACAGCTGTAGGTTTTACCAAATTCTGGTTAGCCCATGAGTCAAGTTCCTCTTTTAATGAACTGTCATCTTCAATTTCATCATCCTTGCCATCAGAATTAAGTACAAAGTCATTGCACCTATCAATCATATCCCATACATCTTCTGTATCACCTACTTCCTCACTGTCATGGCATGAGGACTGTTCTGTTCAATATGCAACAGCAGGGTAATATGTATGACCTCTTCTTGTTCATAATTGGTTTCAAAAACAGTTTTATCTTCAATAACACTGCTGTCACTGGATATTTTGTTTCCTTGCACACTTCCTTGCAGCTTTCCATTTCCGTGTATGTACTAAATGTCTCTTCTTTGTTTCTGGTATTCTCCACACGCTTCCTTACAGCTTTCCATTTCTGTGTATGTGCTAAACTTCTCTTTGCATCTGATCATTTCAAAACATACGCTTTTGGACTTAACATGCACACGTTAATAATACATGTACTAATACTTCATCAATACATGGAAATATTTCTATTGGCATTTTTAATGGAAAAATATTTGTTTTCATTTTCAGGTGCATAAGAAAGGATCTATTTTTCACATTATTGTTTTTTGCTGCTAGATACTAGAAAGGAGATGACTATTCACTTTAATTGTTAGTTGCATTTTTCCAAGGAACTATTGTTAACATTATAAAATGTTTTCCAAGGTAAGTAATTATTGACATGTCTCTTTGAATTACTGATAGGTCCCTTCCTCTGAATAAAGGCCATTGTAGCACAAACAACAGTTCTAATTTGCTAATGGTAAATACTATCAAGTATAATACACAAAATGATACAAAGTCTATTACTTGGCATTAAATAACAACTGTCAACAGCTTAAATATTCTACACTTATTTTTAACCATTTCTTCTACTTAAAAGCTATACATAAAGTACACTACAGTTTGGTGTCTGGTACCATAACTCATGAAAATAGAATGAAGTTCTTTCCTTTTCCACCCCCTTTGAACAGTTTTCAAAAACCAGTCATATAATATTGGAATGCATAACGTATACTAGTAATAGAATAGTATGTTTCAAAAGAAGTAAAAAAATATATGCACATTAACAGTAATCATTTGTCCTGATGGGAAGCAAAGCATATAAGGCAGATTATAAAATATAAAAAAAATGGGTACAGAACGGCCAATAAAGCTAAAATTAATTACGTGTAGTCATTAATCATGTTTAAGATTAAGTACTTCCAATTAAAGATCAAAACAAGACATATTCGGCTACTTACTTTATTTATTTGTTAATTCCATCCTCCTTTCCTTTTGATTGGATAAATTTGTTACATCTTCATAGAAACTATCAGTCTTTATTTCCTTAAGAAGCTTTTTCTCAATCGCGATATTAATGCTAAACTTACAAGTCTTTCTTGTCGTTGCGCATTTCTGGTGTAAGAGAAAGAGTGCTCAACTGAGGCACTAGTGGCTGGAAGAATCAAGGTTAACTCACACAGCTTTGTAAGTTGTTGCAGGGCTGCATCTAACTTGGCATTTCTTAAACAACAAAGTAATTCATTCATTGGTTTTTCCTTTCAAATCAAAGTCAGCGTATAAAACCGAAAATTCACTTTTCAAGCGATGAATATCAACGTATTCTCCATAATTATCTTATTATCTTGCAATGATTTTAATGCTAATTCAGGAAATATTTTTTTGTTCTCTTCCTGTTTTTTAGTGTTAAGGAGCTCAAGGAATGTTATTTTTCGAGCTTTGAAACCTAATTTCAATTTGGCAGCAAATTGCATCCAAAATTTCATAAAATAACTTTCTGTGTGTTATTTTAATGTCTTTTCCGGGATCATTTCTTATTCGCTTAGTAAAGGGGGTATAATCCATCGACTGCGGCTCATGACACAATTCAATCTTTGCAAAGTTTCTTATAGTTTATTCACTTAAAATACACATTTTACAATCCAAATAATAGTATCTTACATAATGCCAGTGTTATTTGTGTTTGGAGGGACTATTTGTCTCAAAGGTTTTATCAAGATGGATTAGTAACCCATATCTGAGTTTCGTTAAAGAACAAATAGTTTTACATTTTAACCAAAGATTATAATTGCAAGTTGACGAAAGTATTTTGCAAAGCATATAATATTTTTAGTTTTATGCGTTGATACACAAATACAAAGCATATAATATTATTTGGTGTTATTGGTTAATGTACAAATTGTCAGGCCCGGCATGGCCAGGTGGTTAAGGCAGTCGACTCGCAATCTGAGGGTCGCGGGTTCGAATCTCTGTCACACCAAACATGCTCGCCCTTTCAGTCGTGGGGGCGTTATTATGTGACGGTCAATCCCACTCTTCGTTGGTAAAAGAGTAGCCCAAGAGTTGGCGGTGGGTGGTGATGACTAGCTGCCTTCCCTCTAGTCTTACACTGGTAAATTAGGGACGGCTAGTGCAGATAGCCCTCGTGTAGCTTTACGTGAAATTCAAAAACAAACAAACAAATTGTCAATAGAAATCACAGGAACTGTAAGAAACTATTGTTACAACTAAGTTCGTTAGTTAATTTTCCGTAAATTCGTTCCGACGAAACTTTAGCGACACAAGTCCATTCTTAAATAAAACTGGTTTATTCTTTCCGAATGCAACTTTACGATACACTTAATTTCAACAGTCGCTCTGTAACAAACGCTATAATTCTCACGTGCTTAACAATATTCTCTCCGACTGCAGTTCAATGGGGGACTTTGAAACTAGCGCCATTATGCCTCCAATGGCCGTAAGATGTCTCTGCCGCATGGGCCAACAAACCGCGGTGGACGCCCACTGGCAACAGTGTTGTTTGCTATTTTCACTTTCTAGAAAGTGATTATGAACAGAAAACGGCTGCAGGTATGGAAATTAAATGAAGTCAGAAGTGTAGTAAATGTATTTTTAGTCAAACAAGCATTATTAGGCAAGTTAAAATTGTAACTTAAATGTACTTTATTGTATAATCTTACGGTGTCTAGATAGATGACATACACTGACCGGGATCCATATACATTAGAACCTATGGTTGACTAAATTTAAAATTTAAACATCCCATATCAATTCTTTATTCTCGATGTTATACACAACAAGTGGTAAGTATTCACAAACACTTTTGAGCGGCTGTGAATCCCCATTAAGCGCCCCTGCATTACAATTAAACTAAAGTTGTCAGTTGGGTGGGCGTTTTAGACAGGTGAATGCATTTGACAGTCAGGTCAACATAGTGTAGGCAATGTTCATTATTGAAACTACTATCTAACTATTGGCAGTAATTAAATAAATTTATTCTATTGATCCAACCCTTGCTAAAAATATTATATTAAGAAACTCCATTGTAGCTTCATGAAGCGTATCCAGGTTACACATAAATTGTAGACTTCATGCTCCCCCACTTTGAACATTCGACTAAGGTCAAAGTTAGCTCTATATGTTCTTAACTTAATCAGGGTCAAAAATAGCTGGTTGGCAACATCGATTGATGGTTGAATATCATTCCACTAAGTGAGTTGGTATGCACCAGGGCCTAGAGAGCGCAGCACATCCTGGAAGGTGGTATAGTCTATGACACCAACATAAAAAAGCATACCTTCCGGGTCATCCTTGAAATCATGAACATTGTAGAGGGAACACCTTACATTGTCTGTTTGACAAGTCGTCTCAGTCGTGTCTGGCATCCAAGATAAGTCTGTTTGTGTGACATTATCCCGGGTGCCATCATCTCCCAACACAACCTCAGTCACATCAAGTGTTGCCATGGGGACATCCCCCAGGATGATCGCAGTGTCCATAGGCTCCACGGTCAGCTCTTCCGCAATCTTGCACCATTTAAACTGATGACGACCACTTCGTTCTGCACGAGCAGCACTTAAAGGAGTGTCAGGCATAGTCCAGGGGAACTGGCTAGGGACGGCATCCTTTTTGAGCCGCTTGATGCGTGACTGGAACCCTATAAAAAAATTAAATTGATTGAAATAACATAGTCTAATTACAAAGGAGTATCTAATAAATATGCCTGATTTATTGTTGAAACGTGCTGATAAATTTATATAAAGAATATAAATAGCATCTAAATGTTAGAAAGCCTAATTAAATACCACAAATTATAGAAAGCAGCAAGTTGCATTAAAAATGAATAAAATGGGCTCTGTGTGGTTTAACGGATGTGTTAATATCTTAAATGTCTTAGCGAGACCAATAATGCGTTCTACATGAGCACGCTTACTGGATATCCGTCTGTCGCGCAGGACACTTTTGCCAGACATTCGATTCTTCTTTTTGAAGAAAGTCGGAATGTTAACGGTGACATCCATGGGAGCAAACATATCCCGAATGTCAAACCCCTTGTCAGCCATAATTGAGTCTTTGGGATCTAAGAGAGACTGCAAAGGGCTTCGCTCAATTATCTGTCTATCACTGGCAGACCCTCCATAGGCGGGTGACACGAAGGCTACAGGGAGATACTTCGACAACTGATTTAGCTGTGTTTTTGTTCTTGTATGTGGAGAATGTTATTTGCTGTGCTGCAGGCTTGCTTGGTTTTTTATCGGTACTTCCAAACCATCAAGGACGATGCGTGTTGATAGAAACTTGCTCTTGAAGTCACTGGGCGAGAAGAAGCGGACAAGGTCTCTGTCGGGCCATAAATTAAGCTCACTGGGAACAATCGAAGGCCTGAAACTGATCAACATGAAGCAAATATAGATTATATCGGATGCCAAGACACTGTTTCTTAAGCACAAATAATTACTGTAAATATTACACAACCAACAGCAAGCAAATTGGTGGTGACCTGCCACCACCAAGCACACAGTTGAACACAAGCTGGGTATTTAGAAAGCGAATGATATATAACTTCAATTCATATGAGATTTATATATAAAGCAAATGTCTAAATACTCAACTTGTGTTCAACTGTGTGCCCACAGCTAATGGTAACAACATTGCTGCTTATAAGAATAGTTTTTTTTACACAATACATTTTCATAGAAAAACAGATACATTAAGTGTCACATATGTGAGTCGCTAGGCCTCAATGAGTTAATAATGCCAACATTCATTTGCTTCAAAGCCATTCTTTAAAATCGCTTTGTCAGCGCCAAGCCATTTGCTTACACAACATTGATATATTGTCAGTTAATGGCTGACAAAAGTACACATTTCAGTGAAATTTTAACTGAAAGTTTTATATTTTCTTTCCATATAGGGCAATTGAAAATGTCATCTGCTTGTTCCTTGTTGTTTCGGTGGCAGCTTATGTTCTATATTAATTTATTAGTTTATAGTTACTCGAATTGTGCAATTTTATAATAGTATTTAGTAGCCAGTCATGCTATATTTGCTAAAAACATAAAGGAAAATGAAATCAAGTTATTATTTGTTTATTCATGAAACAAAAAATATGACGATCAAATATGTAAGGGTCTACTAGTATGTCAACACTAATCCATCATATGGCAGTCATGTAACTACTATATGCAGACTAAACCGTATGTTATTGTAATACATATTTTTTTCTTTCATTTATTCTTTGTTATTTTATGAGAAATGTATGTATAAGCATATAAAACACATTGTCGAAGCATTCTAAATACTAAGGTGTACTATTAAACATGTATGAATACAGAAAATATAGAGGCATTTTGTGCGTCTTTACAAGAGATTTTACGGTATGCATAAAAATTTTCATTTCAACCCAATACATTTCAAGAATATATTTCACTTGCATAAATAACATTTCAAATTAAGGTATATTGATTGCCATATAATAGATAATTGTGTAAAATTAATAGAGCGGGTAATCCTTACAAACAACAACAGCAGCGACTGGCGCGCGAAGGTTTGTTGGCCCGGGACTCGTAGCGCCTCTAGTGGCCACCGCGGGAGAACAAGTTCCCCATTGTTGTATTAGTAAGAAACTACAATCAATTCTTAATTCTATTTTTTACAACACGGTTTTAGGAAGGGTTATTTTTTTTCTCTAGTGACATATGAACAATAGTTGTATTAGTAAGAAACTGAAATCAGTTCTTAATTCTACTTTCTCCAACGTGGTTTTACGAAAAAATATTTTTCTCTTTAGTGACCTTTGAACAATAGTTGTATTAGTAGAAAACTACAACGAATTCTTAATTCTACTTATGTCAAGAAGGTTACCTTACTGTTATGCCAAGAAGGTTATCTTACCATTATGTCAAGAAGGTTTTTATACCGTTATGTCAAGAAGGTTATATTTTCGTTATGTCAAAAACGCTACCATACCGTTATTTCAAGAAGGTTATATTTCCGTTATGTCGAAAACGTTACCTTACCGTTATGTCAAGAAGGTGATCTTACCATTATGTCAAGAATGTTACCTTACCGTTATATCAAGAAGGTTATCTTACTGTTATGTCAAGAAGGTTATTTTACCGTTATGTCAAGAAGGTTATCTTACCGTTATGTCAAGAAGGTTACTTTACCGTTATGTCAAGAAGATTATCTTACCATTATGTCAAGAAGGTTACCTTATCATTATGTCAAGAAGGTTACCGTATCACTATGTCAAGAAGTCTATCTTACCGTTATGTCAAGAAGGTTTCCTACCATTATGTCAAGAAGGTTAAATTACCATTATGTCAAGAAGGTTACCGTATCACTGTGTCAAGAAGTTTATCTTACCGTTATGTCAAAAAGATTAGCTTACCAATATGTCAAGAAGGTTACCTTACCATAATGTCAAGAAGGTTATCTTAACATTATGTCAAGAAGTTTACCATATCATTATGTCAATAAAGATACCTTACCATTATTTCAAGATGGTTACGATATTATTATTTCAAGAAGGTTATCTTACCATTACGTCAAGAAGGTTACCTTACCATTATGTCAAGAAGGTTACCATATCACTATGTCAAGAAGGTTACCTTCTCATTATATCAAAAAGATTATCATATCATTATGTCAATAAAGTTACCTTACAATTATATCAAGACAGTTACGATATTATTATGTCAAGAAGGTTACCTTATCATTATGTCAAGAAGGTTACCGTATCACTATGTCAAGAAGTCTATCTTACGTTATGTCAAGAAGGTTTCCTACCATTATGTCAAGAAGGTTAAGTTACCATTATGTCAAGAAGGTTACCGTATCACTATGTCAAAAAGTTTATCTTACCGTTATGTCAAGAAGGTTTCCTACCATTATGTCCAGAAGATTAAGTTACCGTTATGTCAAGAAGGTTATTTTACAATTTTGTCAAGAAAGTTACGTTACCGTTATGTCAAGAAGGTTACATTATTGTTATGTCAAATAGGTTAACTTACCATTTTGTCAAGAAGGTTACGTTATCGTTATGCCAAGAAGGTTATCTTATCTTTATGTCAGCAAGATTATCATACCATTATGTCAAGAAGGTTACATTATCGTTATGTCAAGAAAGTTACCTTACCATTATGTCAAGAAGATTATCTTACCATTATGTCAAGAAGGTTACATTATCGTTATGTCAAGAAGGTTATCTTACCGTTATGTCAGCAAGATTATCTTACCATTATGTCAAGATGGTTACATTATCGTTATGTCAAGAAAGTTACCTTACCGTTATGTCAAGAAGATTATCTTACCATTATGTCAAGAAGGTTACATTATTGTTATGTCAAGAAGGTTACTTTACCATTATGTCAAGAAGGTTACCTTACCGTTTTGTCAAGAAGGTTACGTTATCATTATGTCAAGAAGGTTACCTTACCATTATGTCAAGAAGGTTATCTTACCGTTATGTCAAGCAGGTTATCATACTGTTATGTCAAGAAGGTTACTTTACCATTATGTCAAGAAAGTTACATTATCGTTATGTCAAGAAGGTTATCTTACCGTTATGTCAAGAAGGTTACATTATCGTTATGTCAAGAAGATTATCTTACTGTTATGTCAAGAAGGTTAACTTACCATTATGTCAAGAAGGTTATCTTACCGTTATATCAAGAAGAATATCAGAAGGTTATCTTACCACTATGTCAAGAAGGTTATCAGAATGTTATCTTACCGTTATGTCAAAAAAGGTTACCTTACTATTATGTCAAGAAGGTTATCAGAAGGTTATATTACTGTTATCTCAAGAAGGTTGTCAGAAGGGTATCAAACCGTTATGTCAAGAAGGTTATTAGAAGGTTATCTTACCGTTATGTCAAGAAGGTTACCTTATTATTATATCAAGAAGGTTATGAGAAGGTTATCTTACCGTTATGTCAAGAAGGTTACCTTACTATTATATCAAGAAGGTTATCAGAAGGTTATCTTACCGTTATGTCAAGAAGGTTATCAGAAGGATATCTTACCGTTATGTCAAGAAGGTTACATTATTATTATATCAAGAAGGTTATGAGAAGGTTATCTTACCGTTATGTCAAGAAGGTTATCAGAAGGTTATCTTACCGTTATGTCAAGAAGGTTACCTTACTATTATATAAAGAAGGTTATCAGAAGGTTATCTTACCGTTATGTCAAGAAGGTTATCAGAAGGATATCTTACCGTTATGTCAAGAAGGTTACATTATTATTATATCAAGAAGGTTATGAGAAGGTTATCTTACCGTTATGTCAAGAAGGTTATCAGAAGGTTATCTTACCGTTATGTCAAGAAGGTTATCAGAAGAATATCTTACCGTTATGTCAAGAAGGTTACCTTACTATTATATCAAGAAGGTTATGAGAAGGTTATCTTACCGTTTTGTCAAGAAGGTTATCAGAAGGATATCTTACCGTTATGTCAAGAAGGTTACCTTACTATTATATCAAGAAGGTTATCAGAAGGATATCTTACCGTTATGTCAAGAAGGTTATCAGAAGGATATCTTACCGTTATGTTTTCGTTTTGAAGTTTATTCCATATATCATCATCTGAACGTCGGAATCTATTAAATTAATATTTATAGTATTTTAGTAAACAATCAAACAACGCACAGT